CTCACAACATATTCCCTGTTCTCTGGCTCTTGCAATTCTTCTGTCCCCTCTTTTGTAATGTGATACCTGAGCCTTAGGTACAGGAGTATTGTTATAGATGCATCAGTTGGGACTGGTCTCTACAACTCTGCATTTTGATTAGTTGGAATTTTCTGTAATGGTTTCTGTCTGTTGCAAAGTTTCCTTGAAAGGGGGTGAGAACTATACTTTTCTGTGTATAAGAATAAATGCTTGAACTATAGTTAGGGATTATGCTGGTTTAGTAAAGTAGTAATTGTAGGTTCTCCTCCAAGATCCATGACTTCACTAGCCCTGGGTAATTAGCTAGGTTTCCAGTACTAGACATGATTTTCCTCTTGTTGAGTGGGCTATAAGTCCATCAAAGCTCAAGAGGCCTCAAATTAGAAAGCTGTTGGTTACTGCCACGCCACTTCTGCACCCTTAGGGTTGCAGTGCCATGCTAGTCATTGTGCTTCATAGGCTTCATGGCTGGGTAGGGCTACTGGCTGCTTTCCTCCTTTGAAAGCTATGTGGCTTCTTCAGGGATGAGGCTTTCAGATCAGATCCAGCTCAAGTCCTCTGGTCCTGTGCCTGAAGTGCATGGTGTCTTCAACAATAGGTACTTACCTTCCCACTCTGAAAGGCAACCAAGGGCAATAGCAATGACCTATAATGTTTAGGGAGTTTCTTGGCTGTCCCTGACCAACAACTCAAAATAGGGCTTCTCATGGCTGGTATTGGGGTGTGTTAGGTAGTTTATGGCTCTGGGGAGAGCATTGTCAGCCCAGATGGGAAAGTTTCATTTAAATTATTTATGTTTATGTTTGTACTCACATGTATTATAGGTATTTTTAGGTAGATAATATGTTTCCTTATGACTTTTCCAGACATCCTTACGTTATTTTACCTTCTTTCTTGTGTATTTACCTACCTCCCCTTTGTAATTAAAGTCCCCCTCATTTTCCCCATTTTCCCCCCAGATTTCTTGTACCTTATTATCTTCCCCTCCATTGCTCCTCCACCATTGCCCCATGCATCATTGTCACTTTTAGCCTCCTAGTGTCTGCAGTTACTTTAGGTCATATACTTACATCTGAAGATTTGAAGCTAGGAACTTCAGATGAAAGAGAACAGGAGACATTTGTTTTTCTGAGTCTGGGTTACCTCATTCAATAAACTTTAGTTCCATTCATTTACCTGGATAGACTCTGGAGAAACATGTGCAGGATCATCTTGCTGGACAGAAAGGTTCCAGAGAAACATTGTAAATGTTGAAATAAAGTTAAATTAAGACAAGGACAGGAGACATCTCTTTCATCTGTTTCTTTAGAGATGGGACATCTAAACATATAAACTTGGTCATACACAGACTATCCCAGGACAGTAGCTAAGAAAACAGCATGGTAATTACTTCTGGGAATGGGATTGTAGAGAACTAGGAGGTGAGAAAATAGGAATGGAAGGAATACTTAAAACATTCTTTGATGTGTTCTGAATTTTGTTCCAGTGCTTGCATTACATATTGACATAATTGGTTTTCCTGTGTAACTTAGGGGTAGGTACATCAGAGATAGTTTTCTCAACCAGATTATCCTCAGACTACAAAAGTACTTTGTTAATCCAGTTGTACCTGTGTATAGATATGTCTTAGCATCTGCAGATTAGAAGATCTTAGTCATAGATAAAGATACATTTTATTGTTTAATAGCTGATAGTGTATTAGTCTGGGTTCTTTAGAGTAACAGAACTTATAGAATGAAAGTATTATGTATATGACGGGGATTTATTAGAATGACTTTCAAACTGTGGTCCAACTGATCCAACAATGGCTGCCTATGAACAGAAGAGTTCAGTAGTTGCTTAGTCCTTGAGGCAGGATATCTTAGCTGATCTTCAGTATATGCTAGAATAGTGAAGACATAGGCTCTAATGCCAGTGAAGGAGTGGACTTGCTAGCAAGGCAAAAAGCAAAAGCTTTCTTCCATATCCTTATATAGGCTTCCAGCAGAGCCTATTAGATTTAGATTAAAGGTGTGTCTTCCTACCTCAGAAATCCAGATTAGAAGTAGAACTTCCATTTTAAATTAAGCAAAATCCCTCATAGGTGTGCCTTTCATTTTTTAGGTTTTAGATCATTCCAGATGTAGTCAAGTTGACTATCAAGAATAGCCATCACAGATAGTATATTTTTTTTTAAAAAAATCCTAGTTTCCAGTCAGATGTAGTGGCACATAGTGCAATCCCAGCACTTGGGAAGCAGAAGCAGGATTGCCCCAAGTTTAAAGCCAACCTGTTTTAGACACTGAGTTCCAGGCCAGTCAGGACTAAGAACTTGTCTCTAAAAACACAAATAAAAATCTTGGCTTCATTTGAGTACAACAGCAATATATTTATTTAGAAAAACCAGAAAAGAAGGAAGAAGGAAAGAAGGGTGGATGGATAGAGAAAAGAAATAGTCAAATGTTTTCTGCTTCTTAAACCATATGACTTATGACAGAGATCAGGGATAGAATGAAAGAGTCTTAACAGAAGTAAGGGATTTATTTCTTAAGGCTTACTTCTGCTTGCCAATTGCTAGCTAACTATACAAGCACAATAATTCTTGCACCATATATCCCATATAAAGATTACAACATTTTATAAACATAATTGCTGCTTAGAAACGGTTCTGGATCAAAAATTGTTGCTGTGTGTGGATGTTTTGCTTTCCAATGATCTTAACCTGTTTTTCCTGAACAATTCATGGTAAAAGGGGCATGTTTCCACAGAGTTTTGGCCCTATGGTTTTTTAAAATTTCTATTGAAGAAGAAGCTGCTGCTGTTGGGAATCTATGCTCCTTCCCAGTACCACAAGGAAGGAAGAAGAGGAAGAATGAGAGAGAAAGGAAGAGAAAGGGGGAGATAAAGAAAAAAAGGAGGTGTATCACCACCTTATGGTAGAAAAAGCATTTGAGGACTGGGCATGTAGCTCAGTGGTAAAATGTGTGCAAGGTAAAGGCCCAGCAAACAGGAGAAGTTTTAAAATATGAATCTCAGTAGGTCAGTTGAGATAAGAGCCTACCTACCATCTTGAGTAGGTGTTACATATAAAACCTCACCAAGGAAATAAATTAAGGAAGCACATTTTGTTCCCAGTTTACTGAAAATGTTTGAAATCAGAAATAAATGTGTTTTAGCTCTATTTAAATTCACTCATTTATTCTTGTATTCTTGGAAATAAGTGGCATAGTATCCAGGAACAGCTCAAGAATCAGAATTGTCAAATTATCTCTGAAGGCAGGGGGAAAAACTTGAAGTGTTTTTTGTCTTCCATAGGGTTCTTAGACTATAATTTAGAACTAAGTATGTTGGTCACAAGTAAATACATGTCCTAGGAACCAATTATGTTGTAATTCTATCAGCACATCTAATAGGATAGGTATCTTAATGAATTATTTTAACTATAAGAATATAGTTAAGTCCTGAAACAATTTAGCAATGCAGATGTGGTTACAGGTCCTCATCCTTGATTGTTGTTTGAGAGTACTAGTGTAAATATTCAAAATGTTTAAGGTGAAAGCTGAAGATTTCAATGAGTGTGGTTTTTCAATTAATTAATTGATGCATTTTTCTTTTCAGTTTGTGCCAGTGACAGGCCACTTTTGGTATACTCAATATTACTCTGATTTATTGCAGCATGAGAGTTTGGAAGAATTGAAAGCAGCTCCAATTTCCACCTTACTAATTCCTTTAGTCATTTTATCAAACCTTTAGCTTTTGCAGTAGAATTTCTTGAAGTCTTTGAGTATTTTGTACATTTATATATATATATATATATATATATA